TCCTTGATAGGAGCATCCTGTATTTTTAAGATGCTACTGACCCAATCCACCAGTCACCCTGCAAGACTGGATTCTTCTGACAATCAATTTTTCAATGCATGCTTTGCCATGCAGTCTGCTCTAATATACTCATTCCTGAAGGGCTTTCTAGGGTCCCCTATTAACATGATGATTTTTAATGGCTTGTTTTGTAAAGGTCAAGTAGAAACTCTTTAGCAGCTACTTCTTAAAACAATACCAAAACAACATTAAGTTTGCAAGCAAATGTGCTTCAAGCAAGAAAAGCAACTGCAACTCTTGCTTGCTGAGTTGCCTCTCATTCTGACAATGCATATCAGGCCAAAACCATTTTGTGCTGCACTGGGGGATGTATGTCATGTTACTTGAAATTGCACTTGGTGTGGACACTTCACAGATAACAGCTGTGTGTTAAGGGACAACACAGTGACTTGCCTACAGTGAAATCTCCCAGACTTCTGGGATATTTGGCACACTTTTAATGTATTTGATAGTCTCTCCAGAAATACACCATGATGATCCTTAAAGAACTGGGTAACAACTAAGCCATATCTTTTCCATTTATGGTTAAATACTAACAATATATTTATGTTCTTGACTAAAAACTTCAAGTGTGTTAAAATATAGAACTCATGTGCACATGCAGCTCTGGTGACCACAAGATACTGACTCCCTTTCTCAAGTCCAAAGAGATTTCTTCTTGCTGCCATTTCCTGAAAAAGAGTGTACAGAGGGGGAAAAAAATAAAAAGGAAATACAACCTCTGTACGAAAACAGAAAAGAAAAAAAATACAAAATCAAATCCTTTGCATATAGAGCTATTCTAACAGTTTGACTATTTCCAGGAAGCAGAGGTCCCAGGCTCCAGACACACTCTGCTCTGCCAAGAGTCAGAAGCATCTGAGTCAGCTAAAGGTTTCCTACAGGTGCTCCCCATAATTACATAGTGAATAACACCAGTGGTGTAGAAACACAGATTTACCCTCTATTACATTACAGTGAAATAAAAACAAAAGTGGATCATCATCAGTTTTTATCAGAGTGAAAAATGCTAGTTAGAAAATGTCATGTCATACTTTTCTGCATAATTTAGTGCTGCAGATCAGACACGAGGTGCAACGAGCACTTTCTGGAGAACTGGTTCTGCAAATTCCCATAGTATGACTCGATTTGGCTAGTGCTTCTGGTGTCTCACTTTCAACATTGAGCCAAAATATTTTGTGAAAAGCGAATAAAAATATCTCTTTTACTAAAATAAATGAGTAGAACAGATGGCAAGTGAACTTCAAACACAAATACAGTTTCTAGAGCATAGGGTGCTTCTGCCAACTTTAGCACTATTTTTAGCATAAATTTAAAACAAGATTCTTTTAACTAAACATTTTGGCAGTTACAGTATTGATTCAATTAATCTCAAAACAGAGAAATGCCAAAAACAGTATTAAGTCAGAATCTTTGACAAAGTTGAGACTTTTATACGCTTAGTGGAATATTAGTCTTATTAAAAAATGAACCCAATTTGTATACAAATTACCTTTGTTTTCAAGAGTTTTCCCAATTCTAAGATCTAGAATAGGTCTCTTGAGTGCAACTACAGCTTTTTAGTTTTGCTTAAACTGCTTAGATAAACAGTCAAATATTTCAAATTTAAAGAAAAAAAGGCAGCAGTATCTAAGACATTCATACAGAGCTTTTCAATTTAAGAATAAAATTGATACAATAAATGTCTAATAACTTAAAAAAATAAAACCTGATTAAAGACCGGTGGATTGGATATAATAATTGTACATTTTTGATCATAAGAACAGCATGAACTTTCTTTATCCATAAATTAACAACACACTTAACTGTAAAAGTCAGTGTTAAATCAAGTAACACATCCCCCAGGAGAATTAAATATTTTCCCATACAATTAATTTTGTGTCCTTCACTTGCACATGTACCCACTTCTCCTAAAAAGCTTCATTTTATTTCAGTCTACATAGACACAAAAGATGCTTTTGTCAGTGCACTTACTGACCTGACAGACAACATGAGAAGGCTTCTTTCTAGAAAGATTCAAGAAAGTCCTCAAATTCATCCATCTGGTTGCAAAGAAATATGTATGCACTTTCTGAGAGAGATGCACATGGGTGATCATAGTTTTAAGGAGCCTGGTTTTACTTGCACACATGCTCTTCAATTTTTTTTTATTGTTATTCTTTTACACCTCCTTGTTTTATCCTTATGGATAGGCAAGATTCTGTATGCTATTGGCCAAAGCCCATAAAACAAGAGTTTACAAATAACTTAGTCAAAAACATTCCGTGATGAAAAAGAGTGGAGTGGACAGTTGTCCACAACACATCCTTGTGGAACAACTCACAAGCTGGAGGAGAGCAGAGTCAAGTATCATTATGTCCTACAGGAAGTATATGAATTTTGAAAGTGTTAGTCCACTTCTTTCAGCCTCCAAAAATACTTCTGGATGCCTCTGAAAGGATGACAGGTCACAGCTCACAAGATTCTTGAAAACAGCTGATATAGTATAACTACTATATCATGATAACATACCATGACAGCATGTACCATTCTTCACCTACCCTTTCAGCTACAACAGAGATTATTTTATTTACATTTTAAAAATAGAGTGACTGCTACTACAAAAGCAAGAACAGCAAATATGGAGTTTAAATACACACAGGAGTTTTTATTCTTGCTAGCTTGCTTCAGGGTGGTTTCCAAATTCCTGCTCCCACCCCTCCTTTTTTTCCTAAAAGATATTATCCTTTTTTCACCTTATATATTGACATCTTTCTTCTTTCTCTGGAGGGGGTGGAACTGACCATCACAGCCTTCCGAGTTTTCAATACTTTCCAAATTTTCCATTTTTCAAATGTCTAGGTGCGCAGAGAGGTATTAAAATGGGCACAAAAGTTGACCTCCGTCAGCTGCTGCCACTGCTTTGTTACACTAGGAGCTGGCCAAGAATTTGACTGCTTATCTCCATGTGAGTCCTTTGTTCCACACCTACAAAAGTTACACCTAATTTGTACAGTCCTAAAGTAAGAATGACAACCAAATAAAGTTTAGCACAGACTTCTTGAACTCTGGACATTACACCAACAACTCATCCACTGATTCACATTCCCTCAAATAACTTGCAAGTAAGTGCAGGCTCCTATTTCTTGTAAGTTTTTTATACTCTTGCAAGCAGCAAATGCACATTAATTTGGAGAAATGCATCCTTGCTTGCAGAAAACAATGGTATAACTTTCAGTTTATTGAAAAATACTGAAAACTAAGGAGCGAATTTTCACAAGCTTCAGCATTTTTACATAGTTCTATGACCTGCACCAGGCATACTTCACAAGAATTTTTTAAAAGGCAATATATCCTGCTTAAGAATCAAATGTACTCTAATAAAAAGAATAAGACTGAACATAATTTTCACAGAATCACAGCAAGTTATGCAGTAACAATTACAGACTACACAAATCAAATCATCCATTTTGCTAGAGATAATGAAATCTCATTTTTGTTAATAATTTGTTGAACTGGAAAAGAAATTCTGAATCAAATTACCAATGAAGAAAGTAAATACACTAGAATTTTCTTGACCTTCAAATTACACAAGGCAATAAATGCAAACTCTGCTTTTTGTAGGCGACTCTCACACTTATTACAGAGTCTGAGCCTCAGGAAGTTATTAAATCTTAAAAAACATGCTCTCTCAAAGATAGGTTTGATGTAACAACCACCCTACCTAATTTCATGTTAGTAATTTTCTTAATAAAATAACACTTTACTTTTCCTCACTCAGTTCTGTTGGACAGTGAGAAGAAAATGAAAACTACATTTTATCTTCTGTAACAGTGCTGAGTTGCAATATAAAACAATAGCAAATTATTGATGCAATTTTTAAACAATCACATAGTTGGAGTTTACAGAATCTTGGCAATCTTGAATCTTTGGGAAGTTTCAAGTTGTACCGTCCCTTTCAATTGAACTGTTATGGCGGCATAACTTGATTTAAACAGCATAAGAAATGTATGAATTTCTTATTCTAATTGTTGTGCCTTGTTACATTATTTGCCTAATATAACTTACATATTTTCACTTTTTCAGGAGGCATGCTGCAGCCTGAAACCTCCTTGTCCAGAAACAGACAATTCTTCAACCACTGTAAAAAGTGAAGCTTTGCATAGGCTTTTTTGACCTCGCACTGTGACCCTCATACCAGCATCCACAGGCTATAGGTCATGACCTCAAGAATTAGCATCATGGAAATAAGAGCCCTTCCAGGTTTAGTTACAGAACAGAACACTGTAGCAACAAACCCCTCAGTCTTCTCTAAACTGAACTCTGCAGCTTTGTTTAAACTCCACTAGAAGACAATAGATAACCCACACTTCAGTTTTCATTACTCGCACACTAAATCATCTCCTCTCCAGCTAAAGGTCTGAGCTCCTGCTGCACTATGAAAACATTCATTCAGTGTGGATCGAAAGCCAATATCATATTGCCACGAGATGATCCTATTAAAAGGTTAAAGAAACATCACTATGGAATTGAAGACTTTTGCAACGTTAAGAAAAAATGCTGAAATAAGTAATCTCTGCTAAAATTTTATCTCCTAAGCAGGCTACTTTGCATTCAGTTCCTCTGGGGGAAAAAAAACCCGCACATCACATGGTCTTTTGCAAGGCTGCCCTCTTGCTAACAAAGCTCCATTTATACTAAATTTATAACAAATAAGCTCCATAACGAGCTCCATTATAGATTAAATCCTGAGCTGCGTTTCTAGCCCGATCTCTCCATCAGCGAGCGCTCTGTGCTGCGATCGCCGCCGGCAGCAGCGCCGGCGGATGCGCGGCCCGGGCGCTCGGGCGGCTGTTCCCCGGCAGCCGCAGCAGGGGGCGCCAGTCCCCTCGGCCTCGGCCGGCCGCGGCAGTGGGAAATCAGCGCGGCGGGAGCGGCGGGGGAAAGGGCACTGGACTCACCTTTCTCCGGGAATTCTTCAGGATAGCTGCAGAAAAAGAAGAAGAAGAAACATCATAAAGCAATGCACGCTTGCAAACCCACGGCACGGGGACATGGCACAGAACAGCAACCAGTTTTTGACAAGTTTCGTGGTCGAAACTCAGCGCTGCAAGTTTTCCTTGAAAATTCTGAAGTCTTTATCTTTGCCTTGAAGTATTTACTGTGTTCCTTTTGCCTTTGCAGCTGACAGAATCCCCAGTCTCTTCAAGAAAGACTTGAACAAAACCAAATCCAGACTGAGCAGCCTTTTCTAGTAATATACATCTGCTAAAGCATCTTAAGGTATAAAAACACACAAAAGCATCTATAATTTTAGTAAACCTTCTAAATGTTAACAAATTTCAAAAATTTTTGTGAGCAAGTAGAACCATTAAACATATTTTGAAATAACCCACTAGTTCAATTGGAAATGAAAGAAAAAATATCAAAAATAGTGGGTATAGCTACAGTAAATTTACAGAAATCCAAATGAAAATGTATTCATAATTAACCAGAAAGATAAAAGTTAAAGCTTGCCTAAATAAGAATTCCTTTTCAAATAAGGAGATCTCAACTTATACAATGCCTAGAAAACCAAAAATAATTTATCATCCCAGAGGGAAAACATACTTTCATATACTGTTTCTTCAGAGCTAAACCTTGGTATTTCAGAAACTAAAATATCACAGAATGCAGTTTGATGATATAAACTATCAGGACAGAGTTACGTAGAATGTCATTCAAGAAGCATTCATGGGCTAAGAATTAACTGGTAAATAAAATGCAGCTGCCAAGATCATCTTTAACAATAAGCAGTAGTAAGGATATCAGTTTAGTCAATATGGAGATGTTGGCAAGAAACAAGCAGAAGAGAAAGGAATGGTCTAAAGATAAGAAACTAAGAAATGCAAACAGAGATAAAAGGCCAGATCTAAGAAATCCAGTGTTGCAAGTGGCAGTAATAGACACAGCCCAACATGTGGGATGTTAAAATCAAAAAAGACTACAATGTGTATGCATTTTGTAGCCTGCATGAAAAGCAAAACACTGTTAACAGTGAATAATATTACAGGAAATGAGGAAGGCATTAGAAATTAAAATAAGATGTGAAACCATGGGGTTACATAAATGAATAGTAAAAGATTCAGTGTCAATATGCTCATAAATGCAGGTTCCCTCTCTTTGATATTTCTTCATCCAAAAAAGCATCAGTCAGTCAAGAAAAAAAATCAATAGCATCGTATCTGCAAGTCATCCGTATAGTCACAGTTAACTCAATAACACAGAATAGAAAACACAGGAAAGAAAAATTAAATAGATAAAACACTACTTTCTTAAAAGAGAGTTATGAGAGAGAGCTAATTCCCTAAGCATTTACAGCCTGAATGAAAAGAACACAAAACTTCAAATACAAGACTTTGGGATGCATCTCATGCCTCCCCCCAGTTAGCACCCTCACCAGATGACTGTGCTGTCCTTGAAATTATAAATAAGTTGCAGGTGCAGAAGCATGCCATCAATGAAATGCTCAGGAGATAACACACAGCTGTCTTATACCAGCTGAGTATGGTGATAGGAAGCTAATTCATATCCTAAATACATTATATTTCTCATGTTTTAATGAATCTTACCAAAGCAGAGGTGAAGGCAAGCTCTGCCCAACAAGTTTGCAATCAGGTTTCAGAAGATTAAGCAATTCAAATAGAACAAACCATTCTGATCCCATTTCTTACTAAATCGTAGCAGCTTTGAGAAGATAAGACTTGAATCCATACAGATTTTTTTTAAATATCATGACCTATACAGATTGCTTAATTGTTAATAAGTTAATGTTTATTAAAAGAGTGCATAAAACTTTAAGATCTCAGTAAGCGACTTTCTAACATAGTAAAGCCATGAAGTTCACTTACCTTGCCTTAATATCCTTTATCTTCTTAAGAAGAACTTCTCTCCTTTCTTTTGCTTTCTTGGATAGATTTTCTCCTTTTAGTTCTTGGGAAACAAATGTTTCAACATCTAAATAAAGAAGAAAATAAATACACCTCAAAAAAAGACAAAATACTGCTGTAATGAGCTTGTCCTGATACTACTGTGAAAAAAATAAGAAAATTATTTTCAGCCCTACTCACAGCATAGTTAACAGACATTTTAGATCCTAAATGGGATACATTTGTTCTCTATCTACTTATGCTTAGCACAGCAAATCCTATGGTGACATTTGATTCTTGCTCACTTAATTATGCTACGTAAGTCCTAATAAATTGCAGTCCTATAACAATTACTTTCCATCACCTAAAGTAAAAGACAAAGCTAAAACATGGAAATAGCCTTTATGCATATATTACTGCCATGTTATTTCAGAAGATCAAGTTGCAAAGATGGTTGTGTAATTTATTATTTCAGCAGTAACACTTACCCAGATACTAATATAGCTCACTTACTGGTTACAGTATTTTCAAGTGTTCTCACAATGCCTCTGAAATCAGATTGACTAAAGAGTCATATCCAAAGCAATCCTGAAAACAATTAGGTAAGCAAATTAACCATATCAAAGGAGTCAAGCTCAACAGCGTACTTTAAATTAATAACACCTCCACTTGCAGAATCACAAACTGAGGCTCTAGCTGGCACTCTAAGTTTTAATTCTTATTCAGATTATACTTTTATATAACCATGCAGAAACAAACCATTCCATAAAAGCTACCAGAGTAGTAGGATAAAAAGAATGCAGTGTATTGAATTTGTAACTCCCCCAGTAGTATGTTTTCCTTACTGACCAAATAATGGCAAAAGACACTTGAAGTTTCTTATAGTTAACAACCAACATACAACTATCCCAAAAACAGAAAAGGAGAGATACAACCAAAAAGTCCTGCTTGTTAACAAAAAAAACCTCACCTGTATGGGTAACAATTGCCCATTGAATAAGAGAAAGCATTTGTGTGTAATAAAACACGTTCTCGCAGTGCCTGCCCACCCCATAGACACACACAGAGACACATATATATACCTTGGTTCTCTCTGCATAGATGCAAATGCATATGGAGAGTCCTATTTTAATCCAATAACCTTTCCAGTCAGATGACACATTCCATTTTAACACAATAACATAAACAACAGCCAATTAAGTACACAACTGTCTACGTGCAAAAGTTTACATGAATATTTGCCACAGATTTCCTAAATGAAAAACTTAATTACATCCTTTTTTCTTTATAAACCAGAAACATACCACCCTTTGTATTACAGGATGCAAGAAAACAACTCAAAAGTTACTCTTTAAGAACACTAGCACAGCTGTTACAAAAGTGTTCTTCTTTACAAATAATTCACTGGATTTTTATTTAAATGTTTAGATTACTGTCCTCATCAAGTGTGGCAAAAATATTCTTTTTTTTTACAGTATTTTAGAGTTCTGAAGAATGACATTGATCCTCCTCTCTCCATAAGACAGAATCTTCCCCATTACATTTTCCAAAGCAATCCTGAATGGGGGAGACCTTCACTCAGTTCTGTGGCATTCCTTCTTTAAAAGGACAGAAGGAAAGGCACTTAACATGTATTAATGCATCCTCCAGACATACCCCCAACAGCCTCTATGCTGCACACCAAGAATGCCTACAGGGATTTTTTCCAAACTCAAAGAAAAAGTACACATCTTCGTAAATTCCAATGATTGGAATTGCCAATCAAGCTGGCAGAGAAGAACCCACAGAACCCAATGACATTGACAAACTACAAAACAAAGATCAAAAAATGGATACTTTTACTACTCAGAGCAAAAATCAAAACAATTCAAAACAAATCAACAGTTCTTCTCTCAGTGAAACCTAACAGGATTTTCTAGTACAAAACAAGCTTTCACTTGAAGAGGGACAGTATAATTAAATTTTTATTTTTCCATACTTTTATCTATTTATTTTAAAAATGAGATAGCAGCTTGAAAGTTCTACCTAGGCATCAAAATGCAAAACTTTAGAGGAATTAGTCATGTTTATAAAGTAGGAGCAATACTTGCATGGTAACCTTTAGACACTAATTAATCACAAAACTTGGATTCAGAAGTCTTAATTTAAACTCAGAGGGCTTCTTTACCTCTTGGAAAAGCTAAGCCCAGGTGAGAATTCTGGTGTCTCGGATTCTGTCTATCAAAGCTTTATTCGAATAGAAATGCTGAAATAACACAGTTAAGGAGTATGTGGGGAAAAGAAACCAAGTTGATTATTATAAAAAAGGATTACCGCTTCTGTCTTAAAATACACTGTGGATACAAAAATTTCAGGACTAACTATACTGCTGAAAGATTTTGTTGTTTTACAGAAAACCTTGGTCTTCAAAAGCAGAAATAATAGAGAATTTTCAACAAGAACAGGAAAGAAGCAGATGCTCCATTTACTCTCAGTATAAGCAGAGTTGGAGGAGAGAGGCAGAAAGCAGCAGTTACAGAAGGCAACCCTGGGATGGTTTCCCTCTCACATGAGTGTGTGAAACAAGTTCTCCAAGCTTAGGTGTATCCACAGTCAGGGCGCACTGTTTTCATCATGGAATACTATTACTTCCATATGTCCAGAGATACCATATGGCTTGATTCATCACAACCCCAAAACACAAAGACAGATCTGACATACATATGATGCTAAAGAAGCAGTTTACTTGAAAATTACATCTTACTGTATCATATATATTTCTTATCTACTCACATTTACACAGTATGTTATATATCTTGTTTTAATCTACTGTTGTAAATCCATCCAGGACATACCAGATGCGGAAGATGAGTAACATCCTAAGCTTCCCTGGACAAGAAGCCAGCAAGTCATCTAAGTTATGATCATCTCTTCACTTCCTGTATTTCCACACTGTGGAGGAATATGGACTGCCTTAACATAAGGAAATGTTCCTGTAATTTCTCTGACCTTCCACAAAGTGATTTATGTAGGAATTAGAACAGAACTTGGGACTTCAGTATGGCAGATCCAAGTTTAATACAGTAAACTTCAAAGAGAAGCAGCAAAATGTACCCATTTCTCATCACTATTATAGTCATATACGTGCTCTCCCCTCTCCAGGATGACCCACAACTTGGTCTCCTGTACTAGTTTAATGTTACTCAGAAAACAAAAATACTCCTCAAAAGCACTTCAGTGTAGACCTGTTTCATGCTTCAGCAGCAGCTGATTCATAAAGGAATTTTAAAAGGAATAAAAGATAAATTCCAGAAAGAAAACCTCTTTTCAGATTTCTGGTCTAAAAGCACTTTAACTAATCAGTTACCCCAGAGCAAAAAAAAAAAAAAAAAAATGACATATTCCAAGAAATTTTTCCTAATGAAAATAAAAAATAATTTTTAAAACACCAAAACAAATAAACAAAAACAAGCAAAGAAAAATACGCAGTGGAAACCTACTTAACATCTCTTTTCTTAAGCTTGTGTGTTAGGCCGCTTGATAGTTTAAATGCCCATACCTGTTTCTTAAAGCTCATGATGTTAAATTTGCTTGCACCATACCCCAGAGAAATTATTTGCCCGCAGGAACCAACAAAAGCTGCCAAACTGAAAGATACAATTGATACAAATCACCCACAAATTGCTCTGCCAATACAGGTTACAAACTGACCAAAAAGGAAAGTCACACCTCAGTCCAGATCTGTCCACTTCAACCAGCTCATACAGTTCAAAGTTTAAGTGCCAGTTCACAGAACAGTCAAAAGCTAAAAGCCATTGTAATTTCATTTTCATCTACAGTCCTTTACAAGGAGAAAAGCTAAAATTTATTTTGCATTTTATTGTTAAAATAGTTTATGGTTCTCTTTACTTCAATGATTATAAACAGAAAACACAGAAAGATTTTAATTGTTTTAAAGTCTTTGGAGCTATTTTCTTTAATGAAGGCTGGAACTACACAGATGGAATTTTACAAGAACAATGTAAATTTCTAGCCCAAAGCAAGCACTGTGTTAAAGACTGCTAAGCCTAACAATTCATAGCACATTTGTTTTTTACAGCATTTAATATTGTAAATGTAAGTCACACTTAATAAACAAACATACTTAGGACAGAACTACCTCAATTTTTTGTCAGGGTGGGCCAAGCAGATTCCCACAGAGGCACTCAAAGACTATATGCTGGGTCATTCTTCATCCTCTTCTCCAGCAGATAACCAAAATGTTATCCAATCACGTTATCAAGAAGTTAATCACTCCATCATGCACACATCAACTGATGAGTTGACACAATTCAAATGACAAGAATCAGAAAGTGGCAATGAGATAGGAACATCTCCACACACATGGCAGGGCCCCTGACCCAAGGAGAAAGCAGGCTGGACACACATGCATCATATGAGCAGGGACATTCCAGGGGATAACCTGGCAGTTGTACTGCCGCTCAGCAGAGCAATTCCTGCAGCCACCAGCCTTTGCTCTCCTCTGCCTCAAGGACCCAGAGAATTTGGGACGGCAGGCCAGAGAATTTTGGGAGATAGCTGCAAGCTAGGCACATTTATTACACACATACTGTCCAAAGGTGACCAATATTAAACAGATTGCCATGTATCTTTCAGCGTTACACAGGATGGCATCAGAAAGCAATTAATTAATTTGATTTCAAAGTTGTCATGAGATTCATTAATAGGGAAAAAGCCTGAAGACAAACTGTCAAGAATAGATGTCACTGCCTGTTCTCTTAAATAAAGAAATATTAGAGGATTTTGCTTCTGCTCTCCCTCTGACTTCACAACTATATTTTAAAGTCTCTCCAGAGTTTGCTAAACTGCCTTTTAAATATATATACACTTAATCAGAAACAGAGCACATGATGTAAAATAAAAGTGACTGAACTTCAAGACATCTAAAAATACCACATTTATCCAGCCTAACAAGAAGGTGAGCATTCCTTTCAGTGCAAAGTCCTGGAAAGGACTGCCTTTAAAAACTGCTGTACCTTAAATCCCCAGAAGCAAGGTTATGCTGCTGTGTTGACACATACAAAGTAAGTATCATGAAAAATGTTGACGCTTAACAGTTTTATTAGTGATTTTAAAAGTAGAAGTATACACAGATTGCTAAGACTCCTCAAAAGAAGTAAATTGATAAGGGATGTCTTTTAAAATATTAAAAAAGAAAATTTTTAATCAAGGACTATATATATATATATATTATATATATAGCCATATATCTATCTCTAATCTCATTGGATGAGTAGTTGAGCATCTTCTGTCTACATTAGAGGTGAGAAAAGATGGAGCTGTAACATATTAAGCATATAATGAAAAAAAAACACACCAATACAAATCATGATCAAGTTACAAAGTGATTCCAAATGAACTATAATAAAAAATGTTAAGGATTAACCTAAAGATTTACACTGTATGCCACATTATGCTGTGTCTATTGTGGTTTGTTGACTTATGATTATGAAAGAAACGTAAACCCAGTCAGATGAGAAAGATAGACTCCATGTTAATTGAAAAAGACAAACTAAGTGAATAATGAGTATATAAAAAATAGCCTATGCCATTTTTATCACCCATATATGACACTTATTCCCGAATTTATGGCAGAGACAATTGAACTATGTTTCAAATCACTGGAGGTTATTTCTTACCGGGAGTCCCTCTGTGCATTTTTTTCACCTCACTGTTTCTAATCTTACTCCATTGCTATAGAAACACATACATACTACGAAAGCTGTAAATACATGTCTACTTAAAAGATGTCTACAATAATCCCCCTGGTTTATCTTTTACAGATGGACTCTTCAGCAAGAACCAGCATTTGTTAAAGCCTTAGAAATATGGAAATAATACTTTTTAAAAAGAGTGAAGTCTTAAACAACAGTGTGCTTTCAAATTTAAACCAGTCAATAAAGAAGAGCCACACTGTACCCAGAAGGTTTTTTCTACGACAGGCATGTACGGAGGAAGTCCAGGAACAGCTGACATAGAAAATGAAAATAGACAGTTTGGTTTTTTTGGGGATCGGAGTAAATATAACCAGCGTAGTCCAAAAAGAAAATGTAAGCAACTCATGCACTGGATCCAATGTCCTGTAGATTTCTTGCCTTGCCCTTTTCTGCAAGCTATTTCCAAGATGCAACTAAACAAGTGGGTAAACAGTATTACTTTGAAGAAAAAAATAAGAGGAATTACACAGAAAAAGGTGATTTGGACAATAAAACTAAGTATTTAAGCAAACTGCTGACTGAAGAAACCAGTCTGGTTTACATTACAGAAGAAATAATATGCCTTTGGGGGAAGAAGCAGCCTTCAAATGCCTCCTCGGCTAGGAACAAATCAAAACTTACTAAGGAAAAATAGATGTGAGCAGACCTCCAACAATCTATGTAACCAGCAACAATCTGAGGGGATAAAAAGAGAGAAATATTCCAGTTTGCCAAACACCCACCAAAAAAAAAAAATCACATAAACACAACACAGGATGCCTTTTCAAAAGAAGAAAAGGCAGAGCAGGGCTGGGCTTCCTTCACTAAATTCCACTGTCTAAAGCATAATCTGTAAGCACAGGGACATGGGTGGGGAATGAAGAAGTTACATACACTACCACACACCTCTGAGGTGTAAAGAGGGAGATAAGACAGCAACAAACTTACTTTCTCCTCCTACAGGAGTTCAACACATGACCAGAGGACCCTGTTTCTGTCTCCAGTGTTTCCGTCCTACCACTTGAACAAGTCAGAGAAGACAGGATGGGATTGTGCAATCCCAATAATCCTCTGCAATAAGTCTATTGCCACACTGACCTTTCCCCTTCAACTTTACAGAAACGGCTTCCTCCTGTTTCCTACTAATGCAGTTAGCCCTGAGCTCAAGCTGGGCTTCTGCCTGGAACATTTCAGCGCCACTGATATGCAACTATAATGACCCTGCCAGCATGTGTGACAGAATTTGTTTTTGTGTTAAAGATATAATATTGTTTAAGTTCAAAGTAAAGCACTCACAAGTCAGAAAATTTCCTGTGCAACTTTAATTCATCCCCTGGTGTGTTTATTCCCATTATCACCATATGTTTAACTACAGGAGCACTTAGTATGTTTTCCAGTAGGATCCCTACTTGTTCAGCATGGTGGGTGGACATACTCCAACCATCAATCAAGGGTAAGTAGGGATAAGGAAATCCATATGACCATTCCTCCACTCATTGCAAAAGTTGGAAATCATAGGCAAAAAGGCCAAGACAAGGAGGAAGAGCAGAAGAGCACAGCATTTATGAGATTTTGCACCTGTGAGGGCCTCTGCTAGGTGAACACCAGACTAAAATACAGTGCTTGTCGCTACCGATTAGCTGCACGTTCTCAACTGAACCTGATATGAAGAAGTGCCCAGCACTTGTAATGACCACTAACATAGACATCCAACTTATATTATTATCTGGAGAAACCAGCACAGCATGGAGGCAGGTGAATTTGAATTCTAATTCTGTTCCACCATTGATTATTTTTTGCTACCCCAATCACATCTTGTTTATTATACTGATTTTACCAATGGGGAAACAATACTCCTTCATCTCAAAGAGGTGCTGGATCAATAACTGTGAGCCGTTAAAATAATACATTAAGACGCACCCTCAAAAAAGAGCATGCAGAAATTAATATCTACTAACAAAGACCACAGTCTTTGTAGTATGTAACAGTTGCTTGATTAATAGGAAAGATACTACAGAGCTCCCTTCCCTCCTCCATTACCATACATCTTCACCACAGGAATAGTGTGAGAAAAAAAAAAAAAAAAAAAAAAAAAAAAGAAGCCTATGCCTATAAAAAAGATTGTGAGATCCTACACATATCAGTGAAAGAACTGCTCATACAGTTTACTGGATTGCAGTTTACTGGATTTTTACTGGATTACTCTCATTTCTAACTTTCATGCACTTGACTGATAACCCTAAAAAAGAGTTTAAAACAAACTGTAAAAGGTAATGCCATTATTTATTTTTCAAAAATGAGCAGGTTATTTAATTTTAACATTGTATAAACTTACAAGGTTAACCTTGAAGGTAACAATTAAAAGTTGCAAACTATTAGTTACATGTAGTAATAATAAAACAAATATTTAAAGATAATTGGTAAATCATTCTATTGCCTTCTTAACTTCAGTTCTATAGACAGCACAAAAAGAAACAAGAAAAGCTAAAGCTGAACATACTCTACAAACATTAGATACCTGTACATAACTTAGGCTACTGCTCATAGCAACTCTGAAAGTACATTACATTTTGAGGAAATATAGATGTTCTTGGTTTCACTTCAAAATACAAACTTCTGTGTCTTTTTTCCATGGCGGACTGGATAAAGATGGGGAGAACGAAGGAAGGACAAGTTGTGTACATGAGGTACCATGACTGAGAAAGAAATCACAGTCTTAAATGATCCCATCTGCATCACATCTTTTCCCTCAAAAAAAGTTTCTAAAGCACTTAAAATATTGAAGAGCTTCAAGATGAGTTTCACTCAGTGAAACTAGCACCAAAACAAACATATATGCTCCGCATCTGACCATGAGTTCCAGAATTCAGTATTGCCATAGAAAATACCAAGATTTAGAAAGGCTCTCTAAGGGTAATATTTATTTTTATGAATTATTAAGAATCTATTCCATCATATGAAAATATGAAACTTTCTTTTTTTCTGGTGACCTTCCATGCAAACTTTAACTACAGATGGTATGATATGCAAGTAACGTAGTTAGAAACTGCAGTTAGGAAACACTTCAGACAGGAGATGTGGTGAGAGCAACATGTTTCAAGCTCTTACAATCAAAGTGTTAAAAAAAAAATAATCTGTGAAGGTGATGAGCTGCACTAGACTCTGGCAGGTGCCCAGCCATGTAATTGAGTGCTTGGCCTCAGAAGGAAGATTTCAAAAAGCATGGGTAATTTGAATGGCAAAGTCAAAGCTACACAAGTTCCTGTGGCAGAAACAGAAGCTCTCAGAAGAGTCCCACTGAAATTAAAGTGGTTTCAAGATACCAAACTTTTTAATAAAGATACCAGAAAAGCCAATCTTTAAGTATACCATTTATTTTAATTTAAAAAAAAAAAAAAAAAAACACAAGTTCTTTAAGGTAAAAGATATCCACTCGTATTCGGAATTCCGTGCTAACACTATAACCTTTCACGGTGAGAAATCATTCCATTCCTACGCTCCAACGCATCCCGAGAGCGTGGACAGTCACGGTCAGAGGTGTATGCCTGATGTGACAATACCTCAGCAATTTAGCAACCCTTTCGTCCTCTCCCCAGCTGTTCAGCGGGGAAGTTCACTACTTTTTTTCGGCTGCAGCACACCCCGAGGGCAGAGACTTCCTCCGGATGGCTCTGCGGTCACCCGGCGGTCACACGCCCCGCACGCGTGTCCGCGGGAGCCCCGAACACCTCACCCCGGTTGGCGTCCGCAGCCCCGACCGGGCCCGGCCGGGGGTATCGGATCCCGGGCGGGGCCGGGGGCTGCGGAACCCAGGCAGGACAGGGGCCCGGCCCGCTCCTTCCTCCCTGCGGGCAAGCGAGCCGGAGCGCTGCGGCTCCCACGGCCGGACACAGGGGAAGGAAGTAGCCGGCAGGAGGAACTGGGGAGAGGGAGGGAGGGAGAGAACCCCCGAATCCGTGCGCTGGAAGTGATCGCCCAGCGTCCGCCGAGGAGCGCTCCGCCGCTGCCCCCGCACGCCCCGGCTCCCCCGGCCCGTGACACCTCCACCGGCCCGCCCCCCTCGGCCTCCCCTCCGCCCGCCCCCCGGGAAGGAAGCCCTCCCTCCTGCTCTCACCTGCCAAGAGGCTGCAGACGTCCCCGGGGACGCCGGGAGCGTCGGACATGGTGCGTGCGGCGGGGGCGGCCGGGGACACCCGGCGGGCGGGGCTCGAGGGCTCACACCGGCCCGGCCCCGGCCCCGGCGGCGAGGAAGCGGAGGCCACGCCCCCGGCCAGAGCGGCCCGGCCGCGAACCGCGGGGGGCGGGGTCTATCCCCACCGGGGCGGGGTCTATCCCCACCGGGACGTGGTTTCCCTTACAAGGGCGGTGCTTCTGCACCTTGGGGGCGGGGTTTCTGTGCATGGGGCGGAGCTTGTTGGTTCGGGGGTGGAGCTCCCCGCCGGCTCGCTCCCGCCGACCCGCCTCAGCGCCGCGCCTGCGCTTCATGCGCTCTGTCCCGTGTTTATGGCCCGCCGTGAGGGCGGCGCCGCAGCGGCCGTCCTGCGTGAGGGCAGCCCGCCCCCGCGCCAGAAACAAACAGAAACAAAAAAAAGCTCGGCGCTGGCTCCCTCCGCTCCTTCCGCCCCGAAGGGCAGGAGAAGTTGGCTGTTGGATAAGAATGACCCGAGGCCGCTGTCTGATTAACCCATTGCCCACTAAGCCAGGGCCTGGCGTCCTCCCCTCCTCCCACAGGGGTGGGCAGGGCTGGATCGATGGCTGTGCAGGGCGGTACTTTGGGGATTTAATTTCTTCCAGACGTCTTTCCATCTTTCTTTCAGAGCGCGGTGCCGACGTTGTCCCTCTCGGCTTTCTGTTATTACCAGTATCAGGGTTTAGGATGGCAGACAGCCACAGCCTACAGCCCGGCCTCGTGCCTATGCCAATGTCCCGATGGTTGCAGCTGGCAAAATCAAGCCGTGGAACTTGAGGAAATTATTGAAGCAGTGGGAACAGGCCAGTTCGTATGGGTGTCTGTTAGCACAGGTGTGTGAGCAGCGGCAAAAAGAGATGCTATTGCTAAGCAGCACAGATGGGCTGCTAGAAGGGCCAGCTTTGCTGGAGTGTTGCTTATGAGGCAGCTTTTGTATGTTTTTCCCACAAATCCCTAGTTGTATGTATTTGGAGCACATTGGTGATGTAATATATTTAGTGTAGAAATAGTCAAAGTAAACTCTTACCATGTGTTTCTGTGCCCTGGATGGTTTTGGCTGTACCTATGTTATTGCTACAGGAAGTGTTTGTGTTAGAGCTGTGGTTATGTTAGGACATATGTATATCATACTAGCATAGGAAAAACACCAATTAGAAGAAGTTCCATATATGAAATTTCATCTTTATACCAGTGTAATTACATGAATACTTGTGACACAGCTGGCACTATGGCTGTGACAGTCAGGTATTAAACAGTTTCCTGCTTCTGCTTGGTGTAGCTGTGTCCACTGAAGTCTGCAGTGTAGACGTGGTGTTAGATTATATTGTTCTCCTGACCTCTCACATCTCTTTAAATCACATGGAGCAACTCATTTCAAATACATCTGTGTTTTCAAAGCATTGCAGCTTTATTGTCTGACTTTATGGCCAGCCTGGCTGAAACTCAAGCAGTGAACTAATTGACCTGTATAATGTTCTGTAATGGTTTTTATGTTGGTTATCTAATTTCAATTCAACTATAATAAACATGCACAGGCATCTGGGTGCATATGTGTATAAATAGATCATGCCTCTTTATTTGTATAAATATCTACTACTCATCTGGTACAAGAATATATTTGATTAATTTTTCTGTAGTTGGCAAGGAAGGCTCTTTGGGCTTATGTTAAATTACACATTTCAGATGTGCAGTCTTGGGAAGCTGCCATAAGGAATAGGAAAATGGCTTGTAGGCTAATATGCTTGCCCTTTTTCAGGTTAATCATAATCCTACGTTCTTGTGTTGACTTTATGGCACCATCCATTTCTGTTCTAGAAATGTGTCACTTGAACTCTGTTATAGTCTTTGTTTTGAGATCACTCTCCTGATAATTTATTCCATATGTTTACCATTTGTGTAAACTTTTCCTGTGTTTCAGAATATAAGGTGGGAAGAAATAACTTACCTTTATTATTTCCCATACACCAGTCACTCTGGAGTCACTCTTTTTCTACTTACTTTTTTTGTTAAAGACCTCCTTGTTGCAGTAAAGACCAGCCCGTCACACAGTCATCAAGATTTGTGACCCAGGCCTATTTTAAGCCTTGTTAAGTTCCAGATTTACTCATAGTTCCCTAATTTTTAAATCTACCACTAATAGGAAGCATAATTCAAAACAGACTCCTTCCTGAAACAAGTCTGGCTTCAGTGCTGTTTCAGCCTGGTTTCTGAGGATTCCACAGCTTGTGCCTCATCGAAACCAGACACACCACTTTGCCTAATCAGGCCCATGGATCAGGGGTTCTTGATGTGTGGGAAGCAACACAACAGGGAACACACAGAAATTTATTGTCCTTCTGTGTGAGGAGAGCTATGAAAACAGGGAATTCAGGAAGAGTTCAGCCTATCTGGATCTACAAAGAGCCTACAGCAGTGCAGCTGCGAGAAGAACAAACTTTCCCATTCAGGAGCAGCATCACTACTGCCTTGCCTCCCTGAAGAAATGTGACATATCTGGTTTACTGGGAAATCCAGCATTTTCCCCTTAAATGTTCCATGCTTCTGCAGCCATGCTATTTAAAATTTAGATTCTAGGAGATGAATGAAACAGGATCTGTATGCAGCTGCTCCTTGTTCTGTACATGTCCTTTAACAGAAAATTAATTGGATTACAGTGCATGCTCCCTGCCCTGATCCCTGCACTATTTCACACAGGCAGCAGCGGCCTTGTTGGGGATACTCTGTGTTCTCATCTCTTGGCCCTGTTGTCTGTCTGTCTTCTTTGCTGGACTCCAAACAAAACAGCTAGTCAATAGTCAGAATATTTATATTTTTTAATTATTTAATTACATTGAACAGTAGCTGGCAAAGATTTCTGGTATGCACATAGAGCTGTTAAATTGAAGGAGCACTGACTTTCTTGAAAGAGTTGCTTTCTTTATATGCACAAAAACTGTGTTTGAAAAAAAAAATAGGAAATTATCTTACTGAATGGCAGTGCTCTAAACATGGCACCCCTGTATGCTTTTTGACTGTGGTTGCTGCACTAAAGAAAATCAGAGGCTTTTTCTTGCCTCCAACAGTGGAAAAGCAGATTCAAGCTATTTTTTCCTCTGGCAAAACATAATTAATGTTTCCTTAGGATTTGCTGCTACTATACATGTTTAAATTACTTCCTCATTGGGAGAGATACATTCAGGACATCACAACAGTTGCTCTGAGACTAAGTTTACACATTAACTTTAAAGCATAAAGAAAAGCTAATACTTAATGTAACAACTCATCATAATTTTGTGTATCTTCTTCTATTCAGAATACATCTCCATGAAAGCTTCCTATTTTGCTGTCCTCTTACAAGCATTTTATAAAGAAGCAAAAACCTTGAGGCATTCAAATATTGTTTGCACAGTTGAGTTGCACTGACTGTACTGTGTTAAGAATGTGGAAACATGGCCTTGCATTTAGAATTCAGCCCATCAAACATGAGCTGAGCACACACTTCAGATTATGGGATGATCACAAATGGAGCTAATATGTCCTCGGCAAGACTGTAAAAATTTTGAACACCAGGTGTGTGTTTCTTTATTAGTTTGCTGAAAAATTGCCACAGCAACATTTTTTTCCGCAGTTTGGAGGCTTTGGTGTCCTGTTTAGTGTTCTGAGTTATAAAATTGATGCACTTTGCTTTGTGAAGGTAACCTGCCATTAATGGGGTACTTCCCAGGTCAGTACTGTCTTGCTGTCATTGTTACCTGTTCTTATTTTAAGACTTCAATTTGAGTAATTCCCAACTCCCAGGTTTAAAAACGCATCTCAAGAAATACAAGTTATTCCCTTCCATCTTCATGTTTTCCCAGATATACAACCACAGAAAGATGCTGAACTGAAAAACTGTAAGAATTGTTCCTTAGATAATTTTCTATATGCCATATTGTAACTACCCATTCAGCTTTCAGAGCTATTGGGTTTGATGCTGAAGTGTTCAGCTTTCCAAATATGGAGCAGCAAGGCCATAGCTTTTCATTTTGTACTTAACTATTTTCCAGCAATGCCTAATTTTACTTAAGAATCACCTCTGCAAAGAAAGATTGGCGTTTCTGTTATTAAAACTATCGGATAGTTAATATAATTTTGAGTTATGTTTTCTACATATGGGAAACATTTTTGCATAAGAATTTTTTTACCTGAGCATTCATTAGATTGCATAGAATTGTGCATTATTCAATATTTTATTAGACAAAAAATATTCTGTTCAGTGTCTTATTTAAAAAGAAATATTAAGAAAGCTCCTATCAGGAGAAGGCTTCAGCGTTTCACTAAGATCCTGTTTTGAGGTGATTTTCCAACAGGATTGATTCAAATGGAACATCCTGAAAGTTAGTTTTGGCACAAGTATGAGATCTCAGTCAACATTTTTTCTCATAAAAAATCTATGAAAGCAAGCCAAAGATAACTCCTCAAGCGTTACAGAAGAGGAGTCTGGAGACAACCAGATAAATAAGAGTTGTGAGATTTCAGTTCATACTAAATCAATTTGTTCTTGTTTGTATCTCACCCTATGTTCTTCAACATCTAAAATGCTGAAGAACTGAAGACTTTTCCTCTCCCCATTTCTCCTCTTCAAGATGTATGGAAATGTCCTGATGGGTCTTTTTAGAGATGAGTATTATTTTAGGAAGTGGGAAGGGAAGCTCTAACTGGAATTAATAATTAGATCTTACATAAACTTTTCTTAACCCCCTACACAATCTTGATATCTAATGAATATTTTGGAACCATAAAGCTTCTTAATAACACTGTAGTGATTAAACATGCTAAAACATCATTTTGCATTCTCCAGAAGTAAAATCTAGAGGTAGATTATTCTTTGAGAGATAGATTAAATAATGAGAAACTATGTAACCTCTAATCTAAATTTAGTGTTCTTGCTAGTTCTTTTTCCCTCTTATTAACTATGGTATAATGCATTGAGTCCTATTTTTAAAAAATTATATCATAGATAATGGAATTAATGAAGAGTACTTTTCCTTTCTGTATGTTTCTGTATGAAGAGGTATATCCTCTTCCTATTGCAGTGGAACGGGTTCTATCTGATCAGTTCTACTCCTGTGCCATAAGGCACTCTCCATCATCTGATC